TAAGATAATTCAGGTCGTGTAAAACACAAGTAAATAAGGCGACCGACGAGACGTCGATATTGACTCGGGTCAGAAAGTAGTTCGCCATCAGCCAATGCTAAACGATGATTTTCTTCGATTGGCGTGGACACAGGTTTTCCTCCAAGCAATCCTGCTTCAGCTATGATGTCCAACGCATACTTCCGTTGACACAAGAAAATTCCTGTAGGAGATCTGGCAACCTCCACCCTAAGAAAGTATTTTAATTTCCCTAAGTCCTTCATACGAAAACATTGATGAAGATAATCTTTGAATTGCGCAATGTCTTCATGATGATTGCCAGCAATGACTAGGTCATCCACGTAAACTAACACAACCAGTTCGACATCTCCTTTGCGAAAGATGAACAAGGAGTGATCAGACGAAGAACGTTGAAACCCATATTGAACAAGAGCAGTTGAGAGCTTGGCAAACCAACACCGAGGAGCTTGACGAAGACCATAAAGGGACTTGCGGAGACGACACACCATACCCTTTTGAGACACCAAGAACCCTGACGACATTTTCATGTACACATCTTCCTCAAGATCGCCGTGCAGAAAAGCATTATGGACATCCATTTGATGGAGTTCCCAGTCTTTGGCTACTGCCACTGCCAACACTGTCCGAATGGTGACCATCTTTGCCACTGGGGCAAAGGTCTCGTCATAGTCAATCCCCTCAACTTGGTGATTTCCCAAGACAACTAATCGGGCTTTGAAGCGTTTAATGCTCCCATCAGAATGATATTTGATTTTATAAATCCACTTGCAACCCAGAGGCTTCTTCCCTGCCGGTAGAGGAGTAATGTCCCATGTTTCATTACTTTGGAGGGCCTGAATTTCACTAGCCATGGCATCTCTCCATCTAACATCCCGAACAGCTTCAAAGAAATGCACAGGTTCTCTCTCTGCATGAAGGGCTGCAAGAAAGGTTCGGTGGGGGAAGGAGAATTTAGCACAATTTAAGTACTTTGTCAAACTGTAAGGCATACCTGAGGAAGCTGAATGTGGAGTGCGAATTGAGGGACCGAGTTGTAAAGTGGTGTTAGTGACATAATCACGAAGCTTCACAGATGGCTTTCGTACACGAAGACCTTTCCCCAGGGATGCAGGGACAGTATGCTCCTCAGGAACCTCTAGTTCTGTCATCATAGAGTCAGTTTGTTCTGGTGGGAGAACGATCTGGGTGGGAGGCTCTTGTTCATGGCATTCAGCGTGACCCTCCCTGAACTCAGTTGTGGGCACATCTTCTGTTGTGGGGTTAACGTCATCGGTCTCCACAACGTGTTCTGCATTGTTCATTGCACCAAGTCCAGGCAATGCTTCCTCGACAATGCCAACATCAACGAGTAGGCAATCCTACCTCTGAATGTCTACTGTGGGCAAGAGAGGCAAACGGGAATTCATGTTCTACAAACTTAACATCTCTCGAAGTCCAGAAGACTTCTCTTTCCAGATCAAACAATTTCCAGCCCTTTTTTTCGATTGAATATCCAACAAATACATTCTTGCGACTTCTACTTGCAAATTTGTCACCTTTCCTATCTTGGTTATGTGCATAACACAAGCATCCAAATACCCGTAGATGGTCATAAGTGGGTGGCTTCCCATTCAATATTTCATATGGAGTTTTTCCATGGAGAACGGTTGAGGGTGTACGATTGATCAAGTATCCTGCGGTCAAAATGCATTCTCCCCAGAATTGAAGTGGAAGTTCTCCCTGAAATCGTAGAGCACGAGCTACATTTAGGATGTGTCGATGTTTTCGTTCGGCTCTCCCATTTTGCTGAGGTGTTCCAGTGCATGAGGTTTGATGGAGTATCCCATGTTGCCGAAAATATCGTTGAAGACACATAAACTCGGTTCCATTGTCACTTCGTAATATTTTGACTTGTTTCTCGTATTGTCGTTCTATTAAGGCGATGAAATGCATTAAGGTTTGTGACACATCTTTCTTATTATTCAAGAGATATATCCACACAGCTCGAGAACGAGTCATCAACCAAAGTGAGAAAGTAAGATGCACCACAAGACGAGGGAGTTCTATATGGACCCCATAAATCACAATGTATTAAATCAAATATATTGGATGCTTGAAAATCACTTAAAGGAAATGTGTTTCTGCATTGCTTTGATCTCTCACACACTTCACACACATGAGTTGTATCCGTATTTCTATTCACGCTGTTCAGATGCAGAATTTTTCTAACAATCTGGTAGGCAGGATGTCCCATTCGCTTGTGCCAAATCTCTAGTTGATTTTCTGCATTGGTCTGATACGCCTTTATGCCACTCACACCACGATACCAATAGAGTCCCTCTTTTCGTTCACCCGCTCCAATCAGCATCCTTGAAGTGTGGTCCTGCATTGCACAAAATCTATCAGTAAAATGTACTGTACATTTTACTTCATTCGTCAATTGTGATACTGAAATCAAATTGCAATTCAATTTCGGAACATATAGAACATGTTTAAGTTTCAGTCCTCCATCAAGGAAAACCGATCCTTCTTTGTTTGCCAGCACCAATTCACCATTTGGTAGTCCCACTGGGCACCCTTCCAAGGCTCGACTCTCCCTCAAGTTTTCTAGTGTTCCTGTCATATGATTAGAGGCGCCACTATCAATAATCCACAAGTCACATGCTTTCTTACCAGTCATCTTTTCAGTTTCATTTGCCTTGCGAGAATTCAACATTGCTGTCAAGATCTGCCATTGCTCATTACTCAGTCCTGCGACTTCTGGTTTTTCGGTTGAACCAACGTTATCTGCACCAGTGTGCGCCATATTGACGCGAGCCGTTCCTCCTTTTCCTCGGAAGGTTCCTGTTCTTTGTTGATTTTTTTCATCGTTTCTATCGGTTCGTGGTCTCTCTCCCCACCATTCTGGGTAACCAATGATCTTGAAGCAATTGCCTTTGTCATGTCCCTTCCTTCCACACTGCATGCAAACAACTGATTTTTCTTTCGCTTCATTGCGCAACTTGTTCCTGGTTTCCGCTCGCATAGCCATTCCCACGATCATTCCTCGCTCTTCTTTAGACCTGGTGATTGTTCTCACCCTTTCTTCTTGCACCATGGTGCCATACACCCGATTCAACGAGGGTAATGGATCTGTTACCAAAACATTTGACCGTGCAGTTCCATAGCCCTCATCATCTAGCCCCATCAAGAACTGATGAATTTTTTCTTCTTCTCTTCGTTTCTCAAGTTGCGTCATAATATTACACTTGCATCCCCCACATCTACACTGTGGGATTTGCTCGTAATTTTCCAGTTCATCCCACAACGTTTTCAACTTCCCATAATAGGAAACCATAGTCATTCCTTGTTGTTTGCATTCTGCCAACTCTGACTTTAGCTGCTGGATTCTTGGTCCGTTCACGATCGAGAATCGTTCCTTGATGTCATCCCATAGGTCTTTTGCGTTTTCCATGTATGCAACAGTGGAACGCAAACTAGGTTCTATAGTGTTTAGTATCCAAGATACAAGCATCGATTGAATTGTCCACCAATCTTCTATCTCAGATGTGTCTTCTTCAGGTTCCTTACGAGTTCCATCTATGAAACCCCATTTCCTTCGAGCCCGCAGAGATATCTTCACGGCCCTTGCCCATTCCTCGTAATTCTCTCCTCGTAATTGTACCTGTGTAATCACATTTCCAGGATTATCACTGGCACTCAGATCGTATGGCGATTGTGTTTTCTTCACCGCCTCTCCTCTCTCTGCCATTTTAGAAGTACGACTGTGTTCTCGGGCTGTTGGATATCAGAGTTTGGTTCGCTCTGATACCATGATAAAAATATTTCCAAAAACCCCCCTTGTATTGAATATGATAGCACAATATATACATGAAATACAGAAACATTCTAGGCTATAATTACGCTAACCATTATAGTCGGTATCCTAAATTTGTCTATTAACAGATATGACATTAATGTGCATCACTGTGCATCGCTGTCATGCCAAGCTAAATATGGAAAAAATTAATCATGTAGAATCATGGCATGATACGGTATTTGTAATCGTATATTTTATGTTTATCAAAATCCTATAAAATATAATGTATGTATAAAGATGAATGATTAAAAAGGGGATTTGTTAGTGATAAAGAAGATGATGAAGAGGAGAGATTAACATGAATTTCTTTGTTGTAACTTTTGTGAGAGTGAGTGAGCATCCATTCCATAAAAAAATATAGTAGCAGTAGGTAAAACTGAGTCCAACTTTTGGCCTTTCCATGCCTTTATAGTCAACCATCACCAGCCCCCTTAACCATTTTTTGACTTCCACCTTAATTTCCTCACTACAATACTCTCTACCATTAACTCAATCCAACCTCCACTACAAGAACCTCACTAAACTTCATCAATGTATATTAACAACACTCTTATTGTAAAATACAAAAAACAATAAATACAAATAATTACATCAACACCTTTTCAAACTGTAACAAATCTTCACAATATCCTCAAAATGGAAAGCTTGTGAACATTCTTGGATTAAGACCAAACTCTAATCTCATAGCTTCTCCCATGAACAATTAGAACTCGATCATGATCTTGAGAGGGATAGTGAAGTCCTTTTAATCTTTATATAGAGAAACTTTCTCTAAAAATAAATTGTATAAATTGCCTAATATTAAAATTTGATTATTTAAATGTAGTTGGGTGATGTAACTTTATCTTTTCACCGCATATATATAATGTGTGTATATATTTTGTAGACATGCATATGCATAGATTAATAGTGAGTAACTTTAAGCATGTAGCACTCCACGTTCATTTGCTTTTGTTTTCCACAATCATAAAAACCTTCTTCTTCCATCAACTTGGTGACTTCCTTACGTAAATTCTCTCAGAAGCAACCCTCACCTCACCATAACAACACTCTCTCCCCCAAACTCAACTCAACAAACAACCCTCTCTCACCTATCAATCAAACTCCACAACGAGACACTTCTCTTCCACACACACACACCATGCATCATCTCCTTCTCCTCTTCATCTTCCTCTTCGCGCTATTCTCCGCCATGACAACTCCCTCCTCCTCCGCCATCGACACCTTTATCTTCGGCGGCTGCTCCCAGCCCAAGTACACGCCGGGTTCGCCCTACGAGAACACCGTCAACTCGCTCCTCACCTCGCTGGTCAACTCGGCCTCCTTCACCAACTATAACAACTTCACAGTCGCTGCCGCCTCTTCCAACACCGTCTACGGCCTCTTCCAGTGCCGAGGCGACCTCAGCAACGACCAGTGCTCGCGTTGCGTGGCGCGTGCGGTCACTCAGCTCGGCACGCTCTGCTTCGCCTCCTGCGGCGCCGCGTTGCAGCTCGAAGGCTGTTTCGTGAAGTATGACAATGCGACGTTCGTCGGGGTGGAGGACAAGACGGTGGTCACCAAGAAATGTGGACCGTCCGTTGGGTTGACCTCGGACGCGTTGACTCGGAGGGACGCCGTGCTGGCGTATTTGCAGACGTCCGATGGGGCTTACAAGACCTTCAGGACCAGCGGGTATGGGGATTTTCAAGGTGTGGCGCAGTGCACTGGAGACTTGAGTCCCACCGAGTGCCAGGATTGTCTCTCTGATGCCATCCAACGGCTCAAAACCGACTGTGGGCCCTCCACCTGGGCCGAGATGTACCTCGCCAAGTGCTACGCGCGCTATTCCGAGAGTGGCTCTCACTCGCGCCCTAATAATAACGGTAAGCGTACACAACTGCTCCACCGTGCGCGGTGGTCTGGTGATCCCTTTAGCCTTTCTATGCTTGTGTGTTACACTTAATTTCTTTTACCTTTTTTTTTTAGAAAAAAAAAAAAAAAAACTCTGTTTGACAGTAATTAATAAACTAGAAAATTTTGAATTTGGTTTACATGATGATACTTCCCGATTCAAAAAAGTAGTACGTAGTTGTTGGGTGTGAAAATGAGAACTGATCTGGCAAGTGGTAACGTGGATTGAAACTCAATTTACTTCAGACTCTGGATTCTTCTTTTCCCTTAACAAAAATATTGTTTTTTGTATGTTTTAATTTACATGAGTGAGCTAATTATTTATTCATACTTTTGTGATTACCATCAATTCTTCTTTCTAGAAGGTTTGTATCTGAATTTTCTATTTCGCTTCACTGCTGCAGTGCTCTTTTTTATATTCTTTATCGAAAGTTATTCTTTAGGCTCAGCAAACGAGGAGAATAAATGATAATTGATAATGGGAATGAAAAAGTAGATATGCAAATTTTTGCTTGACCTACTATGATTTTGCCTCGTCAAAGTGTTTGGGTGGTGTTTGTGCGAGGGTAAATAAATATATACTCAAACAACATTCCATTAACACCTGTTTGACGATGACGTGCCCCTTTGATTTCATGAAGAATCCTATGTATGGACACAATCACGATCCATGAAACTATATTACCATTTGTCCTGATCTTAATGCCCAAAAAGCATGAACAGAATAAAAAAGCGTATTACACTTAGTACAGTAAGTAAGATCGGTAGTAAAGTTATTACTGCAATAAGGCACATGGAAAACATAATTCAATATTCAGGGCATAACAAATCCCGTAGCAGAACTGAATTTTATTGTGTCTACTGCTACAACACTTATTTTAACTCATTTTCTTACTTAACACGAACAATGTAGATGATAGCAACCACAATGATGATGAGATTGAGAAGACACTGGCTATACTAATTGGACTCATTGCCGGGGTTGCTCTAATCATTGTTTTCCTTTCCTTCTTATCCAAAGTGTGTGAAAAACACAAAGGTATGGTTTTCTTGGTACATACATATGCATCTAATCTAGCATTATTTTATTTAAGTGTTCAATTTATCATTGTAACAATGCATCTCTTTTCTGAATTATGCAGGTGGTAAATGAATAATATAATATGTGCACAGTCCCGGGATTGAACTTTGCCCTTGCTTTCTCTGGTAAATTACTTGTCTTTCGGTAGCTCTTTCGCTACTCTTAGTCACTCAGTCTCAAATTTCCTTTTTGTAATCAATCCATCTTATTCTTATCTTCTAAGTTTCCTCTGCATAGTTCCTTTTATAAAGAATACCAGCGAAGGTATAGATAGAAAGATGTCATGGAAAAGTTGTTCCATCAAACAAGTTACACAATGGGTTGCAATAAGGAGAAAAGGCTCAAAGATTCCACTCTCTATGACCATTCGTTTTCTCGTATGTCCACCAATATGTACAAATACTGAACACTTTAGTGAAAAGTGCGCCATGCATGCTTTGTTATAGCCTTTGAAGGGTATAATTAGAGTTTTTTCTTACTTTTAATCACCAAGAGCTTTACTTTCGATCCCAGAAGTGAGATTAAGAAAAGTTTGATGAAATTTCTGTCAAATCGGTGTCCCAGTTTGTTATCATTTGCGACTTATGAAATGGGTCATTGGTCTATGTAACTACTATCTTTTTTCCCTGTTTGGCCATTATAATCATACCACACCAGATATGCAACGTAATCATGCAGGTGTTAGTTTATGAGTTCTGTTTCTTCATCTTCTTTTAATGAATACACATCCAATGAGAAAGTAGATGTACACCTGTTCAGTTGAGAAGTCATTATAACGATTAGTTTTACTAATCGTTGCTTTTTCCTATATAATTTCATGAGATATTCTGATGATGGGCGAAAAATGTACCTACTCAAGTTTGACCAACCACCATACTCTGTAATTTTCTTGAGATACGTTTCTGATAAAAGAAAACATTGAATACTAAGAAAGTAAGGATGCCAAATTATGATCTGGCAATGATTAAGGATATATCATCATCACTATGTTATTTTACAATAAGAAAGGACCAACGTGGCATTAATTTAAGGGAAAAAAACGATCAGATATTGGTATAAGGTACTAATAATTACAGAAGCATGATCTACGTAAGTAAACAATGTCCACGAAATCGCTCCGGATTCTTCGTTCTTCACTTCCCCATCTTTATCTATCTCCATCATCAATTGCTTTTGGGGTTAGCTTTTATAAAGGAACTTGTTTTTGTCTTAGTATATGCAATTCTTGGCACCACTTAGCATCATTACTTACTTTATTAACCCTTTTACTAATCTTACTTATTGGAAACATTCTTTGTCTCTCTTTTCTTAAGCAGAATATAGGCCATACGATACCATACGTGACAAAAGTTATGAAACCTTGTCGTGTTCATTGTATATTCTTGCACTAACAAATTCATAAGGAAGAAGAAATGATGCTATTGAGCGATGAGGAACATTAAAATAATGACGAGGGTACATAACGAAGAAACAGGAGGATGATTATCAAATTTTAAACCCAACTACCAATTTGGCATCTTAATATTGCACATTATGTAACCTACATTTGTTTTGTAAACTCGACTATTGTGTAATGATAACAATGAATGAAGTTATAATGGAAAGTTATAAATAAGTAATCAAATTTGGAGGGAGAGGAGATATTTATAAATTTTGTTTTATTATTTTGATATTGTCTCCCACCATTTTCCCTCACGCTTGTTTCATATACAATTGTGTGTGACTGAAATAAGATATCACAATCACTTTATAAAAATAGTTGAATTATTATAAATAAATGGAGTACGTGGTAAAGGAGTGAGTTTCAAGTATGACTCCTGGTATTTGGAGGAGCTTATTTGTTACGCAAAGGATATGACAGCAACTTAATTTGTCTCACCTGGGTTCTCACATGCACACATCCATGGTTATCGAGATGAATTCAGCCATCTTAACCACTTGAATACTGTAGGCCATGAATTTGAAATGTATTTAGTTGAATAAGTTGTTGGTATACTATATTGTGTAATTAATTGAGTGGTAGTTAAAAAGCTAATGAAATAAATTAAAGTAGTAGGGGATGAGAAGATAAGGGAAATGAAATTGAAGGAGAAAGTACCAAAAGTGACTCTACCATGATAATTAATATACCGAATGACGGAACAACTAGTTTTGGTTTGTTGCACCTTTTGAAAAAGATATAGAAAAAGGCGTGGAAGGCAACAGTGCCTTACACTTTGCTTCTTCGTTTTGCAGAATGGCGTTATTGGAAAAAGGTAAGATTCTACTTTTGATTAGTTGTATCTTATTTCATCCTCACATATGTGAGAAGACTACCACCAACACAGGAACCTTCTTATTAAGTCTTTTTCGATAATCATACAAAAATGGAGCTGCAAGAGACCAAATGGTAAAACCTATACCTCCTCTCCGATCAACTTTTTTTTTTTTCCTTAATCTTCGTCTTCATGTACAACGAGGTTAAAGCAATACTCAAAGGCCATTTCTTCCTCAAATTGTCTCTAATATACATAAGTTATGAAAAATTCATTCCGAAATTTGTTTGGATTCAACTTTTCTAAAGCATTTTAGAATCAATTATATTTTCAAAAAATTGATTCTAGAATGTTTTCAAGAAACTTCCGTCAATCATTTAAAAAAAAAAACTGATTTTAGAAAAATATAGTATAGAACTCATTTTTGAGTTATATTTTTTAGAAATATATTTTAAATTCAATAATTGGAATACATTTTCGAAAAAATAAAATTCAATATAAATTTTAAATTATTGAATCCAAAATATATTTTTGAAAACACAATCCAAAAATAAGTTCTGGATTAACGTAGGTAGAGTTCATTTCTAAATTATATTTTATATAAATATATCTCATATTTAATAATTTATAATATCTCATGCATTTTTTAAGGAATTTATAGATGAAAAACATCTTATAGGATTAAAAGCATAAATCACTGGAAAATTTCTAATTGTCAACTAAAAACGGTCCTTGAATAAAGGTGCAAACAATCATAATGGAAAAGAAAATTGGTCTAAAAAATATTTTTGATATTTTATATAAATTATGGAGATGCATAAGAAATTATTAGGGTGAAGAAAAAAAAGAATATGATTAATCAGAGATTGCAGAGCATGCCCAAATGTTGTTAACCAGTAAATGACTCTACTTAACGGGCCGGGCTATTTATTTTCGAAATAAGTAGATTGAAGGACAAGCAAGCCCAAATGAATATGATTAGCATAAACGGGCCTAGTTCAAAAATTGAGGCCTTAGTGATTTGATGGGTTACAAAAGAAGTGGGTGACTTAGCGGGGGTGGTGTGTGACGTGTGGAGCACGTGTCTGCAGAGAGTTAAATGGGAATGCGAAGCGGTGGGCTATAAAAGGCTTAATTTGCGTGTCTGTCCGTAGAAGAAGCACCACTTTCCTTGTAATTGTAATCGCATAGGAAGAGAAGAACGAAGAAAAAGAAGCTTCATCATCGCGGAGATCTAATCTAATGGCGCTAGAGTGGGTTGTGCTAGGCTACGCCGCGGCCGCAGAGGCTATAATGGTCATTCTTCTCACGATCCCAGGCCTCGACGCCCTCCGCAAGGGTCTGATCGCCGTCACCCGTAACCTGCTGAAGCCATTCCTGTCGGTGGTCCCCTTCTGCCTCTTCCTCCTAATGGACATCTACTGGAAATATGAGACGCGTCCCAGCTGCGAGGGTGAATCCTGCACCCCATCCGAACACCTCCGCCACCAGAAATCTATCATGAAGAGCCAGCGCAACGCCCTCCTCATCGCCTCCGCCCTCCTCTTCTACTGGCTCCTCTACTCCGTCACCAACCTTGTCGTCAAGATCGAACAACTCAACCAGCGCCTTGAACGCTTGAAGAATCGCGACTGAAACAACTACAGATAAGTCGGTTATTCCATCTCGCAAATATGTCTTTTGTTGTTGTGCGTTCTACAAAGAAGTATTCGTTTCTGTCAATTTCTTTTTTTCTTTTCTTTTTATTCTAAATCGAAGTTTGCATGATGACTGTTATTGAGTTTATTTTAGTGTTACTGTTTTTCTGTTCTACTTCAGCTCCCGCCACCTAGGGTTTCTTTTGGGGATTTTCTTATTTTTGCGTGCGGGATTCAATCGCGTATACATCGTCGCTCTCTTGTATAACAGGAAAGCGCGGTATCGATTATTCCTCAGTGTTATCTGAAATGCGTGCTTAATTTGACTTTGCGCATTGTATGATTTGTTGTTGCTGTTTGTTGCCGTTGGAATACAAGTTCTACGTTACATCACATCAATTGGAGTGTGATACAACGAGAATTGTCAAGTTTCCAACCTCAATTGTTGGTTTTCTTCAACACGTGCAGTTAAGTTGGATATTGATTGATGGAATTCAGTTTTAGTTCGAGCATCTTTCTATCAAAATCTCTTTCAAAGTGCTGAGAGCTCTGAAATTAGGAATGGGATATCTAACATTGCATTGGTTAAACCTCGCATAACCCTAAATTATTTCAGGTTCATTACACCCCAACTTCTATCTAGGCTTAAATTTTAACTCTTGATAATTATTTTCTAGAAATTTTATGATTGGAGAGTAATGAACTATCCACTTTTGAATATACCACTAGTTTATCTGCTAAACCAAATTTTCTTCTGGTATTAGTTTTTTTTTAACTATCCATTCTATTTTGGTACACTCTATAGCATAAGGCCGTTAATGTTAATTGTTGAGACACCCAGACAGCAAATGTTTCGAATGAAGTTTTGTTAGACAAGGGGTATCGGTATATTTCCGTTGTCTCTGTACTTGGATGTTCTTGAACTTCTGGAGATTTAAGTTGTCTACTTGTGCGTTGCTATGTTGCGTGTTTGTCCCCAATTTTTACCAAGTGAGGCAACGAATAGAATCTCTATTCAAATGCTTTGTCCTGATACATGTAATTCGCAATCTTCATTTTCTTAATTTCCTTTTAATATAATATGTTGCTTTTGCCTTCTTTTTGGTGCCCTCTGTAAAGGCTTCTTAAATCCTTAATTTAACCATTAAGTTACTAGGCCAGGTTTTGACAATCTTTTTCATTTGAAAAAAACATGACTTTTTTATGAGTATATAAAAAATTAGGTTATAAAATAAATTCATATCTAATCATTTTAGCGATTAATTTTTTTAATTTTGTTTCTCTCTTTCTAATATTTGTCGTAAGCGCATATATATATTAAAGACAAAATAAGAAGAAATTGGAAAAGGAATTTTAGTATTTCTTAGAAGTGTTTATTGAAAATTTTCTTTAAACTATACTTAAAGTAATTTGTTCAATAATGTTACTTTTTTTTTTCCTGAAGAGAAGCTTAATTTAATACCAATAGTTTTGCACTTACATGACATGGAATCATCTCAAGATTGTTGTTGTCTTATAAATTCCAGTAGTAAAAAAAATCCTAAAACTGAAGCATACTAGCTATATTTTGGTTTTAAAATAAAGGCATGGGCAACACTGTTTATTTGAAAGGAATGTAGATGATTTTATTAGTCAAGCAATCATCAGAAACAGTGTGAAATAAAAAAAATGGCAGCTCATTTTTTGAGGTAATGTTTTGATTTTTACAACTGGAAAGTACTTACATTTATCGGAAACAGCCTAAACCCTTGAATCTCCTGACAACTTGCAGTTTCTTTTGCTTTTTGTCTTCTCTCTTGCCCTTTTTTTGGGTATATGTTTTATTTTAAAAGTTGTGTAATATAATTTTTAATATTTGAAAAAATCTAGTTTTTAAATTAGTCAGAAGCAGTATTTTATTTGGGAAGGCATGATGTAGCGGGAGTAGATCCTCAGTTTGTATCAGGAATAAATTTTTGAGCGAACCTTAGGAAGGAGAACAAAATTTGAGTTAAGCAATGATCCATGGATTGTGAACAATGTCTTATACGTGGCGATTGATTATTTGGTAATTGCTTAAGCTTATCATCATTGGTCTTGCTGAGAATCCAATATTCTCTTGTTTACTTGTATATTGTATATTGGAAGGAAAGTTTTAACAAGATTGACTTTTCATGTTCAAATCTCTGATCAAACAGCCACATCTTCGTTTAAGACAGAGAAACCAATAAGCCTTTAGGGAAAAGCGGCTAACATAAAACCCTAAACCTCAAGAATAATCAACCGACGCCGCAATTAAAATCAACAGCGTGTGCCTTAAACGTTAAGTTATAATTTGTTGAGAACCATATAGGTCAAGTTTAATTATACTGTTTCACACGCGACTTAAGAATTCAATTTATAAATTGAGTGATTTGACCCTCTTTTTTTAATTTAGGTCTATCAGTTAATTGCATATTGAAACACTGTTGAGAGAAGGATTGGTCCCACGGTATTTGTAGGGCTGATGAAAAGATAGTCCGATGATTACAATAAATTATAATTAATCTTTAGTCTAACAAGTTATAATTAATCTTTAGTCTAATTTAATTAAAAATGTATTTATATTAAAATAATTAATTAAATTATTTAAATAAAAATTAAAATATAAATAAAAATATGTTAATATTTTTCATTTTACTTTTTGTTCTTATTTTATCCAAAGGTTTTGAATTGACGTCCCGTTTGTATTTTCACTTAAAATTAAAGAGAATATGGACAATATGTATTTTGAAAATTATCGATCAAAAAAATTTCGCTTAAAATTAAAGAGAATATAGACAATATGTATTTTCCAAACTGTCGATAAAAAATTATTCTTATGATAGTTCCTGTTCTGGGCAGATTGAGATGCTACTCTAATTGGTGTGGATTGTGTTAAGGATGTACAATCTTTTAGAGCTTCATTTGTTTCATTCAATATTTACCTCAATTTTGTGAATTTTACTGTCAATGGATTGTTAATGTGACTGTTTAATTTAATTATGTAGATTCTACCGTTATTTTCATTTTTTATATATATCTTGTTTTTATTAATATATTTTCTATACCACAAATATTTTTAAGTAATAATTAGTTGTTCAAGCAACGCCGTTTGCATAAATATCACCACGGATGTTCTTAGTTGTAAGTTGGAGATGAATTATTTTTAATTTCATGTATTGGTAAAATGATATTTTAGCATTTAATTTAATTTTATTGATAAAATTATATTTTGAAATATTTACATTCTTTTAATAAATTTAAAACTCTTGTCATTGTTATTTATAGTTCAATATTTAATGTCTATTTGGATGATGAATTTATTTATAAAAAGTTAATTTGTAGAAAAAAAGTGTTTTATTTTAATTCATGCATAAGTTAACTTTAGAAATGTTCGTTCTTTTTTTCTGCTAGAACTTCGCCCAATACTTGTGTTTTTAAATAATAAAACATAATAGTTTTGATGATAACTATTTTCAAAACTTTGATGAACAAATGTATAACATCTTTTAAAACTTTGAAATTTCAATAACATATCCAGTAGTTTTTAAAAAATTAATAATCCATTAATTTAAAATTACAAATTTAATATCAGCTACTTTCGATTTCTTGACATTTTTACTGTTTATATTTCTAATAAACCATTATTTAAAACAACTTATGCCTTGGACTTGAACAAGGAAAAAAGTTTTAAATATTAATATGCGGATAAAATATAAAACTAATAAAATTAAAAATTGACGTTTACCCACCTTAATAATACTCAAATGAATATGACATTATACAATTCATAAAATTAAGAAAAACAAAACCATTTGTAAACTATGTTCAAATGTAAATGTTCAAATGTCTATTTAGGGAAGGAGAAGGGAAATATAGTTTATATATATTATTCTTTTTTTAATTTATTAAAATACATTTTAAAGATAAAAAGTAATAAATAAGAGTTTCAAATTGAATATATAAAATTGTCTTTTTCCTAAATAAAATACAATTTATTTTCTTTTTTTAAATATTTAATTTTATAATAAGTAAAAAACTACAACAACAACATATCATTGTAAAAAATAATATATATTTAATATATATATATATATATATATATATATATATATATATATCCCAAATTACATTTTTATTGTAAAATTTTTATTTGATTAACCTTTTCAGAGGTCACTGCATCATTTAAGGTAGATTTATTATGTATAATATTCATCTTTTCTTCTTGTATTTCATTTTTTATTTTTAATTTTGTTAATTGAATTTTAATTTCTTTTAGAAGGCTTATTTCTTTTTGCAAGTCTTGTAAATTTATTGGTTTCTCTTTATTTATTGTCTTTCGTAATATTTTTGAGAAATCATAACCACTTACTTTTGTTGATACGGTTTTTACTTCTTTTTCGCTTAATATTAATATTTTTAATTTAGTTAAATATTCTAACTTCTTCATTTGGAAGTTTATCTACCATTTCTAAGGTTATTTTAGTTTTGGTAGTTAAAACATTAATATTAAATATACAGATCATAATTTTTTTCATTCTCATTTTCACTCGGATTAGTGGTATTTTCATCTTCACTACTACTGGTTTCTATTAAATTATTTATGTCTTATTCTGATTCATATAACAATATTTTTGCTATTTGATTTTTTATCTCTTCACTCATATCTAGGTTTTGTATCCTTTCTGGACTCTACAATCTTTTTTTATATGTCCAGTATCTTTCACATTTATAACAAACTATTCCTTTATTTGACTTAGGTTGATTATTACTTATAGGAGAGTTTGTTCTTATTTTTCTTTTAAAGTTTCTAGGAATGTTCCTACCATTATTTTGAGAAAATTTTCTTTTAATTATTTGTTTTTTATTATTTTTTCTAGAAGGAGGATCTAATTTTTCATACTCATATTGCATGCGTAAATCTCCTAATTCTTTTGTACCACTTTCTTGTTATCTTTTAATTTGTTTTTCTAACTTTAGATTATTACATATTTCTAA